GTCCTCGCCAAAGTCCAGGCCTCGTGCAGTGGTTACTACGTCCAGAAAAGGTTTGTCCTTCAAGGTAATCTCCTGGCGTCACTACTTGTCACCAGTCAAGCGCAGTGCGAGATAGAATGTAGAGAGAATTCAGGATGTTTTAGTATCAACTACTACGAAGAACAGAAGAAGTGTCATCTCAACAAGGCAACGCATCTTTCAAGACCTCTGCACCTCGTGTATGACATGGGAGGGGTTTACATTAAGATAAAGAATGATTATTGCAGTGATGCATACTGCACTACTGGACACATTTGTTTGATTGACAGCTCTAAAGACGATTATGTCTGTAAAGGTAGGGATCGAATGATGTGATGGTTAAAGTGTCCATAATTAGCTTGGTTATTTGGTTGCCATAATGTAGTTTAAGAGTGGTCTGTTTTCATCTCAGTTGATGTTCAGTCTGACCCTGGCTGACCGCCGTTGAGGTTGTTATCCTTATGCTTGCTTGTGTTGTAGTTGCACCCCACAAAAATCATTATCATGAAGATAAAAAATAAGGAAAGTATTGAAGGATACAAACCTCAGGGAGGGGGAGTGGGGGGTGCGCACCCCCTGCACCGACCAGCTGGATCCGACCCTGTGAATTAAGTACGACAAATTTTGTACAATTTGACCGTTTTCCTGTTATATTGTTTGATTCTATATTATTGTGTTTTCCTGGCTTACTCTCCAGTCTGCAATACCCCGCTTGGTTTAGAATCAGGAACCATTCCAAACAACAGCATCTCTGCTTCCTCCTTTGGTCCTGGTCGCGAGCCATGGCGAGGACGACTAAGAATGACACAGGGTTCGGGACATAGCGGCAGCTGGGAACCTAAAAAAAGAAAAGTAGGGGAATATCTGCAGGTGGATTTTGGTAAAATTTGCCGAGTTACCAAGGTAGCGACTCAAGGGAGACCAAATCATTATCACCGGATTACCTCATATAGTCTCTCTTATGCTCTGAATGAAGGGACTTTCACTGACTACAAGGTTGGCGGAACACTCAAGGTTAGTAAACCTTGTTTCCAGTAGATATTATTGTTATTTTTTGTTGATAAGTAAACACTGTGAACATAAATTAAGCGTTCCTTGGTACGTTTGGTAACATATTTTGTAGATTATTCAAAGAGTGCCCAATGTAAGTTAGTGTTTTTTCATTGATCGAGTAAAAAATCCTTTTCTACAGGTCTTCTCTGGGAACACTGACCGTGACACTATTGTGACGAACGTTCTTCCAGTACCAATCAGGTGTCGCTATATTCGATTTGTTGTCGTTACATTCTTCGCTCACCCTGCCATGAGAGCCGAGGTCTACGGTTGCCCTGAGAACTGACACTACGATACTGACATCCAATTTGAGGTCAAGGAAAATCGCCAGTAGATTAAATCAGCTAGTATACACCGCACCTAGTCCAGAAAATAAATAATAACTAATTCATAATTAAAGTAATTCATAATTACTGCAAAATAATGCTTGGATACTTCAGGAAATAATATACGAAAGCAGCATTTGTGTGAATTTGATTTCTCACAAAGATTATTATATAAAGGCAAATTAAATGCATGTAATTGCATAACTAATTCATAAATAAAAGTAGTTCATAATTAATGCAAAATAGTGCTTGGATACTTCAGGAAATAATATACAAAAGCAGCATCGACTTTGCAGATTTGTGTGAATTTGATTTCTCACAAAGATTATTATATAAAGGCAAATTAAATGCATGTAATTGTACAATGTGTATTTGTTGGATTCTTGACTCGTATATTCTATTAAAACGAATAGATATGAACACATTTGGGAGATTGTACTGGACTGCACCGCAGTATGTGCTTTGTGGTCTTTTTGTATTTTTGACACCAGGATTTGTTAACCAGAGAAGCCATGATGCATTGCTGGTCATGTGATATTTACAGGCTACAGGGACTCGTGGACGGTACGGAATATTGCCGA